GATAAATAAATGGTTGATTGGTATCCCTGAGAGAGAAGGGAAAACTGAGAATACCCTGGAAAAAGACTTCTAAGATGTCATCCAAGAAAATTTCCCCTATCTCACTAATGAGGCAGCCATGCAAACACAAAAGATTCAGGGACATCCTGCAAGGTATTACATAAGAAGCCCATGTCCAAGGCACATAATAATTCATCTCCCCAAGGTGAACATGAAAGAAAAAATCCTAAAGGCAGCTAGAGAGAAGGGATAGGGCATCTAAAAGGAAGACTCATCATAATTGCCATAGTCTTTTCAGCAGAACCTCTACAAGCCATAAGGGACTGAGGTCCCATTTTTAACATTCTAAAAAAAAAGCAATGCCAGTCCAAATATTCATATCCCACCAAGTTAAGTTTTGTTAATTAAGGGAAATTAAAATCCTTCCCAGACATCCAGTTCCTAGGAGAATATGTCACCTAAGGAAATGCTTAAGAAAGTTCTAAGCACAAAAACAAAAGAGTAATTCCACCCATTGCAAAAGCATAGGCAAGAACAGAGTTTATAGGCCATACAAATCAACCACAAAATATAAAAAGCCAAACAGTCTCTTAATAGAAATATGACAGGAACAAGCTCCCATATTTCAATAATTAACTTAAACATGAATAGACTGAACATGCCACTCATAGGGCATAGGTTGGCAAAATAGATAAAGAAGCAGGATCTATCTTTCTGCTGCCTTTAAAAATCCCACCTCACTGCAAATGACACACACAGGCTCAAGCTGAAGGACTGGAGAAAAATCTTCCAGGAAAGTGAAAACCAAAAAAGAGTAGGAGTAGCTAGTCTTATATTAGATAAAACAGAATTTAAACCAATAAAAGTCAAAAGGACACTGAAGGACACCTCATAATGATAAAAAGCTCAAACCATCAGCAAGAAATATCCATCTTTAATATATACACACCCAAATGGGACCACCCAGATTCATAAAACAATTAAGCTGAGAAGACATGCACAGTCATACACTTTTGGTTGGAGACTTTAATATCCCACTAACAGCCTAAGACAGATCATGGAGGCAAAAAGCTCAATCTGGAACTTTAACTCAAAACTTGATCTAACAGATGTCTACAGAACACATTATGCAACAATGACAGAATATACATTCTTTTCATCAGCACATGGAGCATACTCCAATATTGACCACATATTCACACATACAATTTCTGACAATTAAGTTCACAAAGTCATCCTAGAAAAAGTGCTACATACCTTCTTGCTGAATATCACTATGGTCACTTTCAAAACACTCCCTTTGAAAGCTATGCATGGACACCAGCATCTAGTCCACCTGTCAAAGCAATTTTGGAACTCTTTTTTTTTTGGAATGGCTTTCAGAACTGTCATTGTATTACACTTGATGTCCCAAATGTCAAAAAAAATCTTTCTTTCTTTGGGTAAAGAAAAAGTCACTGGGGACCAGATAAGATAAGTAGGAAGGATGTTCCAATATGGTTATTTGTTTACTGGCTAAAAATTCACTCATAGACAGTGCTGTGTGAGATGGTGCATTGTCATGATGCAAGAACTCCTTCAGACCCATTTTTGCACACACCTTTCTCATGACAAGATTTTCAGTTAAAATTTTCCTGTTTCTCTATCAATGTTTATTTAGTCTGCTATGCTTCTCATGGTCAGTCAATGATTTTGGTGCATAATTTGATGAATTTTTGCAATGTTTTCATTATTTCTGCTCGTTACTGACGATCCTGACTTCTCTTCATCCATGATGCTTCCTCTCCTCTCAGAAAAAGTGTTTAATCCATTTGTATACTGCCATTTTCTTCATGGCATTGCCCTCTTAAACTTGGACTAACATGTCTCTGATTTCACTTTTACTTTTTCCAAGTTTAACAAGAAATTTAATATTGGTATGTTGCTCTAATTTTAGCTCCAATATTCTTATAACAGCACACAAAAACATGTGACAACAATAATGGACATCACTCAGCAAGACACTGCTGCATGTCGACATGAACACAGCTGTGAGACACTGATATAGCAACCATTATAAAACCTTACCAAGTTGTTTGTACAGTATTGCCAACATAAGTGCATGATGGCAAGTTCATGATCTTAATTGTCACACTCATGAATCGAGTGTGAACAAATTTGAAAATGTCTAAATCCTGCCAAATATCTTAAATCACAGTGGAATAAAAATAAATATTGTCATAAATAAGAATCCCCTCCCACACAAAAGTACATGAAAATTAAACAATATGCTTCTTACTTACTTTGAGGTTAACACAGAAATCATAGCAGAAATAAAATAATTTTTAGAACAAACAAAAACAAAGATATAAAACACTAAAACCTCTGGGATATCATGTAAACAGTGCTGAGAGGGAGGCTTATAGCATTGTATGCATGAATCAAGAAAACAGAGGAAACTGAAGTAAACAGTCTAATGTTGTACCTGAGGGAGCTGGAAAGACAACTACAATCCAATCCCAGAATTAGCCTAAAAATGGGAATCAATAAAGTAAAGTCATGGCTGAATAAAATAGAAGCCAAAAAAACATACAAAGGATCAATGAAATGAAAAGTTGGTTCTTTGAAAGGATAAATTAAGATTGACAGACACCTGACCAGATTAATAAAAAAAAAGAAGAAGAAGAAGAGAGAAAGAGAGAGAAAATATTTGAATAAACACAATTAGAAATAGAAAAGGTGACATTACAACCAACTCTGAAGAAATACAAAAGATTATGAGAGATTACTATGAACATCTGTATTTGAATAAACTGGAAAATCTAGAAGAAATGGAGGAATTCCTGATATCACATAACCTCCTAAGATTAAAACAGGATGAAACTGAAACCCCAAATAGATCCATTACAACCTAAGAAATCATCACAATATTAAAAAACCTTTCTGTCCCCTCTCCCCAAATTAAAAGCACCCTAGGTCAAATGATTTCTTAGCTAAATTTTATAAGGCATATAAGGAAGATCTGATAACAATCCTACTGAAAGTATTCCAGGCAACAAGAAGGGATTTGCCCTAGCTCATTCTATGAAGCTAAAATCCTGATACCCTCAAATGGCAAAGATCCAACAAGGAAAGAAAATTACAAGCCTATTTCCCTAGTGAACATATGCAAATATTCTCAACAAGATTCTAACAAATTGCATTCAACAGCACATTTCAACAATCATTCATCATGCCTACATGGGCTTTATTCCCAGGATGCAGGACTTGTTCAATGTATGAAAATCTTTAAACTTATGCCATCACATAAACAGGTGTAAAACCAAGAACCACATAATTATGACATTTAGATGCAGAAAAAGCTTTTGATAAAATCCAATGTCCCTTCTTGATAAAAATCCTCAAACACCTAGGCATCGAGGGAACACTTCCCAAAATAATAAGAGCCATCTTTGGCAAATTTACAGCTAACATCATGCTTAATGGGCAGAAACTGAAAGCATTTCCCTTTAAGAATTAAAACAAGACAGATATCCACTATCACCCCTCCTATTAAATATAGTACTAGAAGTCCTAGCCCGAGCAATCAGGCAAGAGAAAGAAATTAGAGGCATCCAAATAGAAAAAGAGGAAGTTAAATTATCCCTCTTGGCAGATGATATGAATGTACACCCTGAAAATCCTAGAAAACCTGACAAAAATCTCCTAGTACTAAATGATCACTTTCAAAATATTAAATACAATTTTGAATATACAGAAATAGTAAAATATACTATAAAATTAAAAACAAAAACTCTTGATCACATTCAATTACCCAATATGGGATGGCCCAAAATTGATTCCTCTTCCTGTAAATGAACATAACATCTATCCAGTAGGTCAACTCAAATCTTTGAATTCTCCATTGACTTAATCTTGATTCCTCAGTTTCTTAATTAATTTACTCCCTAATAATTCCATTGAATCATTAAGTTGTATCTTCTCAACTTCCAAAATACGTTTTACAAATCCAGGCATTTTTATCAATATCTACTGCTATCATCTTAGTTCTAGCTGTCATGATCTCTTGCCTAAAATCTCCTTGCCATACTGCCTGCTTCTACTCTTACCTCTTCTCTAATCCATTCTTCAACTTACAGTCAAAGGGAACACGTGAAAAGATTCTGATCCCATAATTCCCCTGTACAAAACCTTTAAAGGAGCTCTCCCTCTTGGAATAAAGTACCTTATCATGCTATGTATCTTATCACAGGAGAGAGAGAGAGAGAGAGAGAGAGAGAGAGAGAGAGAGAGAGAGAGAGAGAGAGAGAGAGAGAGAGAGAGGGGAGGGAGGGAGAGAGGGATGGGGGAAGGCGAGAGTGCAAATTACTTTCCTAGTTTTTTGCCTTTGGCAACTTATTAATGAACATCATCAGCTGTGACTTGCACATTGCCAAGTCACAAGTATAAATGTCACTAATTTCCTTATAGTTCTCCCGAGATTTTATTTTTACTAAGAAAATTACTGTTTTGCAGAGTATAAGTACTTCTTAGACACTAGTTTAGTGCTATTAAAACATGTTTATTTTTATTATTTTAAAAATCTGCCACAAAAATTAAATTTTGCTTTTTCCTGTTGGTTAAAATAACTTTCTTCCTCCTTGAAGGATTGTTGAGCAACACTTTATCATTGCTATGTGCTGATATATATCTAATCACTCTCCGCTTTGTTACTTCGAACTGAACAATTTCCAACTTTTTCACTTTTCCTTAATCTAACATTGCTAAATATCACAAGAAAACAATCTTTAAAAGCATATACAATTCCTTATTTACCTTCTAAATATTAACTGATCATTCAACAGGCATGACATTAGGAAATGAAAAGAGTTATGTGGAAAGGAATGCTCACTCTTTGAAGCCATGAGTGCTTCAAGAAGGAGTGATGATATCATGAACAACAGGCAAATTTCACTTACAAGATCTGGGCCAACCACCATAAACAGCAGGCAAAATTTACTCACGAGACCTGGGTCACTTACAGTAAGGGAGACTGTTTCTGTGACAGTTTGGCAATATGTTTCAGACACTCTGATGGTGGTTCTTCAAGATTAATTTTGTTCTCTTCAGAATCAGGTTTAATATACTCCCACCCAGTAGCTGGAAAATCAATCTGAAGTAAAGAAACAATTAACTATTTATTGCAAGTGTCTCAAAATGCATGATTAATTAAATGATCCTTATCTTAGATTTTAGAAACTAAAAGACAGAATAATTTATATTTTTTCTGTGCTATTTTATTGCAAAATAGTTTTTTAAGGACTCATTAAAGCTTGGACTTAATGCTTAAATATGCACAGTATTTTGCCAACTATTTATACAAAATGTTATATCTTAATTACTTGTAATGTTGTCTGGTAGAAAATGAGAGAAATAGTAAAATATATTAATTTTCAGAAAATTAAATAAGTTGCATTTTTGTTTAATGCTGATATATTCTTTCTACATTTCAGTGTTAAAATGTCTTTAGATTGTGAAATTATAAAATGTAAAGTTGGTAATTATAATTATTTTCATGCGTTCATTTGGAAAAATAAAAAGTTGATCTATGATGGTCTGTATTTCATGAGGTCAGCAAGTGTGGGAACCATTTTGTAGACATGAAAGTGAGATCTTCTCTGGTGAAGATCTGTTTTTCTAGTGAATAGGTGCAAAGAAATTCATCCCCAAATGTGGCATCTTGCCTCAAGCTTTCTCCCAAACTGCTTTCCATCCCAGATCAAATTATTTATTGCAAAAAAGGAAAGGAAGAACTTTAAAAAAAAATAATCCCTGTCTCTCAAGTTCATTCAGCTTCCAAGGAGAACTATTTGCAAGTCATCTTCCATCTACTACACATTTTTCCAATCATTTGTTGCCCCTCAGTAGAATTTCTCTTCCTCTCCCTCTCATAACCTGTTTTACCAGAATGCAAGCCCTATTCTTCCTGTAACCTGGAGATAGTATTTAAGTTTCTGTAATTCATTGGGAAGTTGGGCCTTCATTCTGAAGGCCCTTGTGCATACATTAAATAAAAAGTGTTTGCCTTTTCTCCTATTAATCTGTCTTGTCTTATGCCAATTATTTTTTCAGCAAACCTTTAGGGGGTCCATGGCCATGGACCCCCACTAGTATATAATCAAATAGAATATTTTTGCTTTGGATCCATAGTTCAGATTTATAGACAGTTCTAGAATCCAAGGCTCCTTTTTTCCTGGCTCAGTGTGTTTTCCATTAAACCATGTTTCAGTGATAATCTGATTTTAGCAAATAAAATACATTAACAAAAAAGACAGTTCCAACCCATATACATGAGTTGAAGATTTTAGTGCTTTATATATTTGCTTAAGGTTATCAGACACTTTTTTCAATTTTAATATTAGAAAATTCACAGAATGTATTTTCCTTGCTGGACTATGTTAGGTTGGAAACTCAGAGAAAATTGAGGAACATTATAATGTAGACTGTGTGAGTTACAGTTCGAAATGCAGTTTAATCTATTAGTTATTATTTATTTAAAAAATTTTAAATAATTGCATATGTAACCTTTAAGTTTTGTTGCAATTCTGTTTTAGATATAGTCTTTGTTATAATGTGTCAGTTATTACTCCAACATGATAAAAGAAACAAGTAATAGATTAGCTAAACCAACACAATGTTATAGTACATTTTGCCTCTTGACAAAAAGTAATCTTGAAAGATGAACTTTAGTGCCTTAGAGGGAAGTGTATCCAGTACTAACAGGTTACAAGGTATTCTTTAGGTGCACAAATATTGTTAAATGGTATTTAACGAGCGAGTAAAATGTTATGTTTGTTCCAAGTAAATGTCAGGCTGGATGAGGAAATTAAAGAGGATGAGAGTACAACAGTATCCCTGTGCACAAATCACAATCATACTTGATACATTTCACTTAAATAAATAAATTTTATTTGTAATAACATGAGTGAGCCCCTATATCAAACTGCATTTTTTCATGAATTATGAAGCTAAACAGTTCATTATAGATTTCTGAGCCACAAATAGAAAATATTGGAATTTCTCCTAGTTATCTCTTGTTCTAACTTTTTACACAAGAGAAGTTTCCCAGAAGTATGTATTAGGGAATTCTCTAGAATACTTTTTAGCACCATGCATTGTGGAAGGTATAAATAGTATCTATTACTTTCAGAGAACTTGAAGTCTAATTGAGGAGAAAAGGCACACACATGAACAATGACAACAATTGCAAAAGGGAACGATAAATACATAGCATCCCAAAGCTGTGAATCACAAACACAAAACTCTGCTCCCTCTCTTTCTATAGCTATAAATGACTTAGCCTGGCTTTGGGATCAAATTTCTTTTTAATGGAATGTTTTAGGAAATATATTTAAATGTCAACATTATATGTGCTATGACACCTATCTGTCACATTGCTGTCGAAGACTTGAGGGTACACTTCTGCTTTCAAGAAGAACAACAACAAAAGCAAGAACAACAGCAACAAAATATGGAGCTTTTCCTCTGGGATACGGGAAACTATTCAGACTTGGTTATGCTCCCTTCTAATTTAGACTTCCTTATTTTGGGAGATTAACTTCTTGGGTCCTATTTATCCAACATGCTTCACTTCTCCTTATCCCTTGCCTTTTACTCTTGGCCATCATGGTTGCTACTATGGTTTCATAACTTTGCACCTCTTAAGAAAGCTGGTGTGAATGTCCCTAGTGTCTATTCCCTAGGACCTTGCCAATAAAGTGCCCCTGGGGCCAGTATGCATTCCTGTGATTTAACCAGATTACTCAAAGCAATCACACCTGGACTGTAGGTGTAGCTTGGTATTATAAGAAACATTCATGTGAGACCAGGAGTTTTATTGCTGTTCAGAGGAAGGAAGGATAACTGCTAACTGGGTGGCAACTGTGATGAGTCTTAAAAAGGAGTTGCAAAAGAGGGATCCATATGGCAGTTTTGGAATAAGAAAAAAAAGAAGAATCTATGTTACATTAGGAATTAGAAGGTAGTGTGTTCTAAAAAATTGGTGTCAGTGGTAAGACTGGTGATTTTCCTTAACACTTGTAAGAATAAAGGATATGATAAAATGTTAGATAAAGCAAATACTTTGAATAAATGAATAAGTCAGATCTGCAGTTTAAGGAGAAATCTCACTTAGAGAAAAGGGAGTGAACATTTTGGCATTCAGGTTCAGATAAGTGGACCAAAAGGCTTAGTTTAGAAATATTTGAGGGCTGGACTTTTGTAGTGATCAGAAATATGTACACATATTACTTGAATAAATATTATATACCAGGTACTATGTTAGATGCTGGTGATAAAATACTGTTAAGGCTGTAAGAGATCACTCAGTCAGCGGAGAGAAATGCAATGTGTTAAAAGTGTTGATAAAAATACAGTTGGGTATTATGTGAACACAGAGGAAGGACACTTAACTCTGTTTAGGATAGGAAGAGAGAAGAGGGCAGGGGAGAGAATCTTAGAGGAGGGTCCATGGATGACAAAAGACGAAAATCATTTACAGAGTCAGATGGTTGGTGGACAGTAGATGGTTAAGAGGAGAGGGAAGGCATATTACAGACAAGGAGGAGCATTCATAAATTCACATAAGGTGAAAGCAGAACAGTGCATGTCAGAAACGACAACATTTTCAAAGTTGCTGAAGCTTGAAGTGTCAAACAGGGTCTGGCAAGAGAAGTGATGGGAGAGGGATCAGGCCACACAGCTTGACCTTAATTCTCCCGGTAGGGCTAAGTTGTTGAAGAGTCCAAGCAGGGAAGTGTCAGGCTCAGATTTAAATTTTAGAAGGCTCTCCCTTGTGACTATGTCTATTTTGGATTGGAGAATGACAAAACTAAAGTCAAAGAAATCAGCAGATGAGGTGAGGAATTAAGAGGATAGATGAGGGAAAATACAGAAGATAAATGAGCAGGTTACAGCACAAAAGGAACATGAGTAGAGAGAAAGAGGGAGGAGGTAAGAAAAACAAGTAGGTGTATGTGGGGCATTAATAGACATAAAGAATTCAGAGGGTGAGAGTAATTTTGGAGAGGAAGGTGGGCTCACTTTGGGGCATTTTTGGTTTAAGCTGCTGACAGAATATCCAGGAGGGAGTTTCAGCAAGTATGTGGCTATATTTGTGTGAAATTTGAGGTGTGAAGAAATCTGAACTACAGATAAAGACTCAGAAGTGAACTTGCATATACACTGTGAAAAAAACCTGAGACACGAATAAGATCCAGTATTCCATAGTTAAGGATATATCCATGAAAGGTGAAAATGTATGTCCACATGAAAACTTGCACAAAAATATTCATAACAGCAGTATTCACAATAGCCAAAAAGTGGAAACAACCCAAATGTGCATTGACTAATAAATATATAAAATGTGGTATATTCATATGATGTAATATTATTCAGCAATAAAAAGGAATGAATACTGATCCATGCTATGACATGGATGTACTTTGAACATTATGCCAAGCGAAAGAAGCTAGTCGCAAATAAGACCCTATATTGTCTCACTGTGCTTGAATGAAGTGTCCCAAGTAGGCAAATTTATAGGGACAGAAAGAATATTAATGGTTGCTTAGGGTTGGGGAAATAGGATACAATAGTTAGAGTATAAAATTTCTTTTTTGAGGTGATGAAAACTGACTGTGGTGATAGTTGCACATATCTATGATAATAATAAAAACTACTGAATTGCATACTTTATGCAATGTATGGTATGTGAATTGCATCATAATTAAGCCTTTTCTTTTAAAAGCAAAAAAAAAAAAAGAAAGAAAGAAAGAATAGGTAAGCGCATCCAGGAAGACTGAGTGTACTGAGCATAGCAGAAGGCTGCAGACTGACTCTTTAAGAATTGTGCACATGAGGACCAGCAGAGAGGATCCTGGGAAGGAGACAGAGAAAGAATAACCAACCAGAGAGAAGTATGAAGAGAAACACAATGGGTTCATTAATGGGGATGAGACAGACAGTGCCAAAAAGATCAGAGAGAAGGTTAACATGATGCGGACAGAAGATCACCACTGGAACTGGCACTTAGGAATTAACAGGTACCTGACCACAGATAAGTGTGGTGACAAGCCAGAATACGATGAATTTAGACATGATTGGGGAGGTGAAGAAATAGCAAAAACATGGAACCAATTGCGCTGTCCATTGAATGTGAACTGGATAAAGAAAATATGGTACATATGTAAGATGGAATATTATGCAGCCATAACTAAAAACAAAACCATGGTCTTCACAGCAACTTGGATGCAGCTGGAGACCTTCATACTAAGTGAACTATCACAGAAACAAAGAACTGAATACTGCATGTTTTCATTCATAAGTGGACCCTGAACACTGGTCCCACTAGCACAAGGGTGGGATCAGCAGCCGCTGGTCACTGATAGGGGAGGGAGAAGAGTAGGATAGAAATGTACTGGGGACCTGGTCTACTATCAGGGGGAGAGAGGGTCAGCTAGAAGCCCAAACTTCACCCGCATCCAACCTACTTATGTAGTAAATCCCCACTTGTACCTCACATCTCTAAAACAAAATAAAAAAAATAGAATAGAATAATTCAACATTAACTTCTGTGAAACAGCCCTGCTCTTGGTTTTTAAATATGTGATAAAGTCATTTTATTGCATTGTATTTGGGGAGAGGTGGGAAGTTGAGGGTGACCCAGGCTAAGCAAGTAAAGCAATAACCTGCTTATCTGTCTCCATTTCTGAACTTGGATCTATTTTACTCTGTTCACTGCTTCTGATTAGTACATCAATCAACCACAGGGTCTGAAATAGTACTGACTTGAAGGAATCATGTTCTGTGGCATTATCACATCCCTTGCCACACATGGAGTGGCTGCAGGAACCACCCATCAAATAAAGACAATCAGAAAAGTATAGACCTGGTATAGTCAGATAGGCTTAGCATAATCTTTTCCCTGTATAGAGGGGAAAATAGAAAGTTAAGTGATTTGTTTAAGGTCATAAAGTTTTCCATAAAAGACCTAAGATGAGAATCCAGATTTCCTAATTCTCAGTCAGATGTCTTTCTTTCCTTGAGTCTCATACCAATTCCCTAACAAAAACATCGACTACAGAACTTGCTTCTAATTTCTTCACCATCTCATAATCCTTAGGTTGAAAACTTCTACTCTAAATTTAGCTGACTGTAATTAGACTAATGTGAGGTATTAAAGGTTTTGTCTTCGCTATCTTAATAATTCCTATTTTATTTTATTTTATTTATTTCATCATCAATTAAAAATATACTGAGAGGTTCTTTGCATATCTATACAATGTTAAGTTATTTTACAAGTATGGAATGATTTAACTTTTGCCTACTGTTGAATATTCTTATGCCACTCCTCCACTTTTTAAAAAGATTAATTCTGTTATGGATTCAGATCTGCCTGGGCATCTGTGCTGCTATTGAATATTTGAAACTTTCCTTCATATTCCACTTGCCAGAGGGAACTAGTCCCTTTATCTGAAAAAACTTAGGAAGATTCTCATCTGATAGTCTCCCTTTTCCTTGTCTTACCCCCACCACTGCCCTCTGCTCCTAAGATGCTAAAATCATGAATTTATAGCCACTAATCTTTGCCAATGGTCATACTTGAAGACTTTCATTAAGCTGAAGTAGTTTGAATAAGGCAAGAAATAGTTTGATAGAAAATATTTTTATCCTCTTAGAATGGTTACATATCTACAACTGGATACCCCACAGATCTAGATGAAACACAATGTTCCCATGTTACTCTGTTGAAGACTATCCTTTTTCTGCATTCTTCCTTAAATCTAAAGATATTGCTGCTGACTCAGGAACCCAAGTTTCTATTTATTTCTTTCATATAGTTGTGCTCCTTTCTGTTTAAAGAAAGTTTCTAATATCCACCACTTAATTTTCTTTGTGTGTGTGCACGTGTGTGTGTGCTGTGTGTGTGTACATGTGTGTATGTGTTTGCTTTGGCCCCATAATCATTAACTTAGATCACCAAGATGCCCTTCTAGAAAGTGCCCACATATTTGATCTCCCTGTTTTTCAGACATTTTCCTACAACATTACTAGGACCACTTTCTGTGACAAATTGCCTAGATAATCATATCCAAATCTGGTACACAACTTACCTCATGATTTTCTACTTTTACCACTGCTCCTCAGATAATTAATTCTTTAATCAGCTACCTTGGCATATTTTGAAACTGACACTCCCTTTCTGCAAATTTGTGTTTGCCGTTTGCATTCCTTTATGATTAATAATCTTTCCCACTTAAACTCGTGAGTGAGAGTTTACTTATTCTACAAAGGGCATTCAAATGTCATGTGCTCTGGGAGTCTGTCCCCAGACTTCATACATTTCTTTGCCTTCCCTCAGAAACATTCATTGCTATTCTCACAGTGTTAGTATCCCTATGATGGCTACAGTATTTGTCACCTTACATTAGAGTAAGTGGGAAAAGTCTGCCTTTTAGGCTAGATTTTGCATTCCTTGAATTTCCTGGCTTGGTATTTCACACTCACTCATTTTTGTAAGAGTGTTGATTGTAATGCTTCATGTATAGTAGTCATATATAAAATGTGCACTCAGTAGGATTGAATTGAACCCCTAGTATTTTGCCATTCTTGTTCATTAGTAGAATATGTTTATCAGGTTTATAATGAGTGTCTCCTAATTTGTAATGGAAATATCCATCTTTTTGTCTAGTTACAACAGGACATCTGCTAATTGATGAGATATCATGTATTTATGATGTTGTGCCATGATCTAATATGAATAACCATTCTTTTTTTTTTTTTTACCATCATATCCATAGACTAGAAGTAGACCTTTAGATGCTATCTGGTAAAGTCTTGCTCTACTAGAATGAGAAGCCACATTTTTATAGCGTTAATTTTTCCTTTCCATTTTCAACACCTATCTGTGAATCTTTCTAAACCCCCAAGCCTGAAAATGTAAGAGCCTGGAAACTCTACTAACTTTCTTTAAGACAGTGATCCTCAGCTGAGGAAAACTTTGTTCCTAGAGGACATAGGATCATACCTGGGGACATTTTTGGTGATTAGAACTGAGGAGGTGCCACTGGCATTTAGTGGGCAGAAGCCAGGGGTACTGCTATGCATCCTACAATGCACAGGAAAGCCCTTAAAAAAACCTTTTCTGGTCCCAAATGTCAATAGTGGACATTACAATTAGGAACAAGCGAGAAGCTGTTAGCAGTGAAGACCAAAGCCTGGAGTCATTGACCCCCTTTCATACATGATCTTAAATCACAGAGAGAAGAGAGGCTTCAAGAAAAAAATAAAGGTATAATAGTTGAATTTTGTTTGCAGTTTCTCTCCCACTGCTCAGTTAATTGCTAGACATTTAGGAAATGTACACTAGAAGAGATTTTAAAGAAATATGACACAATGCAGAGGCAGGTGTAAGTAAGATTCCAAGTTAATAATATACATCAATGACTGTTTTTAGACAATGGAAAGAAAAATGCATACTCATAATGAGTATACTAATGGCAACACTCCATAGTGCGCCTTCATCTTGTTGGATGGAGAATGGCTGGAAATTACTCTTATATAAGCTGGGAGAAAAGTGCTTTGAGAGCACTGAGTATAAAACAAAAGCAGTAGAAGTTTCATAAATCCCAGCAGATTGGAAGACGATGAGACTATTAAAATGTGTGATCCTGAAAGAAATTGTTTCTATAATTGACAACAAACTACTTAGCAACCAATACTGACCATGTATACTTCAATGTCATAGTCTGACACTTACCTGCAGGGTCACTGGGGATGGCTGACTTATATCCAGCACTCCTGGAGCGATCATTTCTATGGGAGGCTCACTCTGAAATGTCATGCTGAATAGCATAGACCCGAGAATGAATTTTCTATTAAAAACAAAACAAAACAAAACAACACAGACAGACAGACAGGAGTCACTTCATAAGGGAAGCTATTATTATCTGGAAATGTTTTCTTTTGAAATGTAAACAAAATCAGCTATTATAGTGGCCTCATTCAATTGCTAGAAAAAAAAATAAGATACTCCACAAGCCCAGACACTGATTAACAGTTCATTTCCAATATACCACATGCATACCCATTTTCATAGATACCTACATTTATTTTCCACATGAGAAAATTGTTTACCCACAATGGTTTTTAGCGGGTAGCATTTATTCTTAATTGCTGTCAATGGTGATTATGAGATAGGACTTAGAATCTCAGATTTATATTCTTGGAGTTACAACCACATTAAATCAATAAGATGTCAACTCTTCAGAACATTTTTTGTTTTATGGATTAACTAAATTCCCTGGGTACCTTTAAAGATGTGAGCTTCAAATTTGTAGAAAAAAATATTTAAATTGGCTTACCATATCATCTACAAAATAAAAATAGTTGTGGGACTTCACAGAGGAAATGCTTCCTTATGCATAAATAGAAAGATTATTCATATTCTGAATGCTTAAAAATTGGTGGTAAATTACCATAGTAAATGAAAAAGCACTCAGGGAAGGTTTTAAACAAGGAGGAATTCATGGATGGTTTTAACAGCTTTGGTAACATTCAAATCCCCAGATCCTTGCATGAACTAAAAAAGAAGTTATACCTGGCTGTGTATATAAGTCAGAATATTGGTGAAATGTTCTTATAATGCCTGAGAGCAGTCTTTGATTTTAATACGCCTAAGCAAAAATGTAAAACAAAATGTCAACGAAATTAAAATTTATGAAGAACTTTAAAGTATCAGGCGAGTCTTTCTAAAATCAATATATAATTCTATCTCGCCATTTAACAGATCCTATGCAAAGCATGAGGAAAGAAAACATTAAAACTAAAATTTTCTTCAAACCTTTAGCTTGCTGAAGGCTGTCTTTTAAAAAATTATTCTCCCTATTTAAAGATAATGTCAGAAAATACATGCACACAGTTTGGGGCAGATATTTTATATGTCTTAATATTATTCCACTAAAAAGATACATTTTGAGTCTTTATCTTTTTGTTTAATTCTCTCCCTTATCTGAAGAAAAATTTGTTTTGGTATAACAATACCAGTGGGTCAGTATTAGTAAGGGAAAGATTAGTTTAACCAAGGTAAAGATTAGAGAATTATTAATGTAATTTTCCCCTTTGCCTTTCAGAGTCACCCAAAATAGACAAAGCTTCATCTGTTTGGGAAAATTTTTATGTCTTAGTGTCTGGAGGAATGCAAGAGGAGGAAGGAACATATCTAACACCAAACTTGGAGGACGCATGCCATAATGTTCTCCAAATCATGTAGAGAAAATAACTTCTGTTCCTGGTAAAAGGTCAACAGAAGTGAGGAAGGAGCACGTGGAATATTTGATAGGAGAACAATGGTAAAAGAAGAGCCCACCACTTTGGAAGAATTTGGGGGGGGGGAGGCAGAAGACAGACGAAGAAGGAGCAGAGTCAGTATATCTGACATAGGTTTCCCAGTTTGCCACTTTTCTGCCTTTGGAAGAGGATGGGAAGGATTATGAGATAAGTGAGTATAACCTAATGCTGAAAGCAGAGGGGCTCCTCATCTCATTCCCCATTTCAGAACCTGGAGCGATCATCTGAGTCTCGCCGTGGCATGACCCTTAAAATTGGCTAACAAGCAGAAGAAACTCCCGAGTTTAATTTTATTGGGTCTTCTTTGGTTTCTAAGTAGATAAGATGAGATGAGATGTAGAAATAGCTATATATTTGAGAAGGAGGGTTTTCAGAAGGGGATCACCTAGTGGGAATAAGGGACTCTGTGATAAAGGCATCTGGATGGACCCTCCAAGCTGGGGTCAACTGGGAGTTGCTAGCAAACCTTAGGTGGGTCAATGGTGCCTTTGAAACCTGAGTCACCCAGGAAGTGCCAGGAAGTTTTTGCCAAGCTGAGGGAGCCTTGATCACGAGCTACACTAGCTGCAGACTTCAGCTGTTACATACAGCCATTGGCTAAAAAAGCTGTTTTGATTTGGATATCAGAAGTCATCAGGCCAAATGGTTTGTTTTTTTCTTTTCTTTTCCTTTGCTTTGCTTTTCTGATCCTGTGTATCCTTTCCCCTCTTAGGAAGAGAATCGGGTTATAAGAAGGTTATCTGAGTGAATGCATATTTCTAAAAGGACAATTTAAATTACTGAACTGATTAATACTTTGCCATAGATGTAAACTTTTTTTCCTCCTCATTAGTTACAGAGCAGGAGTGCATGAGGAAGATGGGATATATTTGTTGCATTTTTTCTTCACACCTAAGTTTTAGAATGTGTTGTGTGTGACCTTACTATATTTATATATCTTGGTCATGCTGTGGTCTAAAACTATGAGTGATCTGAGCTGATTCCTACTGAGGATGAGGGCACTCAAGAATCTAGTAGTACCTGCCATTTCTGTCCTTGGGTAGTATCTGTATATGTAATCACTATGGCTTTGACCCTGAGGTACATGGGTAGAATGAAGTCAGAACACTTGGTGTAGGTGTGTGTATGGGGGCATTTGTCCAAAAAAAGGACATAGAGTGAATCAATTTGTAACTACCCACTAAGGTTGATACAATGTGTACTTTATTTAAGGCCATTCAAGGGCAAAAGAAAATAAATGGTTGGCATCATTTTGAGGACCCTCAACATGTTTGATGTTAGCTAATTTACTTTCGGATAAAGGACTGTGCCTGTACATCTTTTTAGATATTGCACGCATAATGGAATGGTGGAAATAAATTTAAATTTCCAAAGACTTTTTTTTTTTTTTTTTTTTTTGAGAGAGAGGGCACAAGTTCTTGTTCTATTGCCCAGGCTGGAATGCAGTGGTACAAAAATAGCTCACTGCAACCTCAAATTCTTGAGCTCTAGCCACCCTCCCACCTTAGCTTCCTAAGTAACTGGGACTACAGGTATGTACCACTATGCTCAATTTTTAAAATATTTTGTAGAGATGGGGATCTCGCTATGTTGCCCGGCCTGGGCTCAAATTCCTGGTTTTAGTGATCCTTCCATCTTGGCCTCCCAAAATGCTGGAATTAAAGGTGTGAACCACTGTGCCTGGCAAAAACTTCTGTAAATAGAAAATATGAGGAACATGTTAAAATTGAGATGTAGAATTGAGATGTAAAAAGATACATCTAAGATTGTGGGTGGTCTCACAAAAGGATGAAAATAGACATTTTAACACCAGTAGATTTTTTTTATTACTACTATGAAAAGCTTTATAAAGTTAGTAAAAATTAAGCAAAAAACAAAACATCATGATAGCAGGTTATACAAAAATATAGTTTCATATGGAAAGAACACCAGACTTTGTGTGAACCTATCTTCATTAACAAGCTTTAATTAGCTTAATGTATTTGTGCTTCTAGAAAAAAAATAACTATGATTTTCTAGTCTTCATATAGTTTTTTGTCTCTGCTGGTTGTTGAGGGTAGACCTCAGAAAGGTGATGGGGAGGTACCAATGAGGCTAAACTACAGGACTTTAAATTCTCCCCACACAACACTTATATTTACAAATTTTGAATAAGTTGTTATTCTTTTTTTTTTTGAGTTGGAGTCTCACTCTGTCGCCCAGACTGGAGTGCAGTGGCCGCTCCCGGCCACCGCAGCCTCGCCCTGCTGGGCTCCAGCGATCCATCCGCCTCAGCCTTCCAAGTAGCTGGAACTACAGGCGTGCGCTACCATGCCCGGCTAATTTTTTTGATTTATTGTAGAGATGAGGGCTCGCCAAGTTGCCCAGGCAGGTCTCGAACCCGCGGACTCAGGCAATCCACTCACCTCGGCCTCCCAAAGTGCGGGATTACAGGCTGAGCAACCGAGCCCGGCAAATAAGATGTTATTCTTATGGACTGCACTGCTAAACATAACATTTCAAAATATTTGTTCTGGAATATCATTAAAAAGATCTCTTCTGTTAAATTATACACTTATTAACTAGAAAAGACAACACTAAATTTGTGGCACCAGGAAAACAGATGAGCTGGTTTACTGTCTCTAGGTCCTGTTTTCTCAAGCAGTAACATGCGGCGTTTAAATAAAATAATTACCTATTTTAGCTATGGAATTTTATGCTTCTATTGCTGGTATTTTGGAACCAGAGAATAAAAAGGTCCAGAACTGGACAGTCGGTAGGACCAGAGGATCTGATGCTACAAAATTCTTTGAACTGCTGACTTTAATAGACCTAATAAGTTTCATGTCCAAGAACAGGGGCCCAGGAGAGAATGAGGCAGAAGTATCTGGTAGGATGGTAGGCTTTTTATAGAGTGTTCAAGAGTAGAGCATGGCCCCTAAAAGCAGGAAGAGAGTCAGCTTAGGGTAGCAAATCCCAGACCTGCATTCTAGTTCTTTTTCTATTTCTGAGTAGCCTGATAACCTAAAGCAAAATTTTTAACCTTCCTTCTTCATAGAGTTCATCATCTGTAAATGAGATATTTGGACTAAATGAGAGTCTTTCTTATACAGAAAAGGTGAACAACAAGGAATTCTCACCCACATTTTGTTTTTTTTTTGGATTATTTGATTTTGAAGACATCTGAAACCATTAGTTACAGTGGAGTCAGGGTTGGTTACATAGGCAATTGTCTAGGGAATCTAATTGTTTTGAGATTAATATTCATTTTAAGGCTTTGTTGAAATTCTGCAAAATATTTTAATTATTTCAGGCTTTAAATTCACCTTGAGAGCTTTGAAAATCTTTGATGGGGGGCAGGTACTTGGGTTTTGGGTTGGCTTTAAAATCTTCACAGAAAATTTTATTATGTAATCAGGGTTGAGAAGCTCTATGTTAAAGTAGCTTACCACAATTTAGAAATAAATGCCAAATAACTGTCATACTATTCATTTTGCACTTAAATAGGACATGGAGCTCATGAGTACTGTCTAGGTGCATTGTGTTTGCTTCATTGTGGAGCACTGTTGCTGCATTGTGGAGACACAATGCATGCCAATGCCATAGATATCTTGTCTGCAAATGAAAGGATTCTAAAACTTCTGTGGGCACAATTTTACTTTTGAACTTGAATTTTTAAAATAGACTAGAAGGTGAGTCTGTATACTTGAAAATGTAAGTTTATTTTTGTTTGTAGATTTTATTGATGCAATCCTAACTGATTTATCTGAGCTTAATCACCATTTGTTCTTCTGAAACCACTTATGGAAGCCACAAAGAGATAGGAAGCCTTTAATTCTGCATATGTTCAACTTATATGAGTGCTGGAAAAGGTAATGACATAGTACTCATTACAGCTCCACATGGCTAGCCATGGGCAATTCAAACTGTAATAAAAGACAGATTCAATACCAAATGTTTATGGGCAGTAGTCACTCTATGGAAGGAAATGAAATTTGCTGTGATCTAGAGATAGCTGCGTCAAATAAATTGGGTTAGGGTCTCTTTAACTTGGATCAATTAGCAAAGTGGAAGTCTTTGCCTCTCCCCAACTGCCCCATGTGATAAATTTTTGGTGCATTTGAAAGATCTGTATTTCTTTAAATCACACAGCCCAGGAGAGAGGCAAGTTTTCTGATTTTCATGAGAAACAATCTTTTGGAAATATATTTACAAATGCTTACTGAAGGACTCTTGGAAGTAAGTTGTGTTTTCTCACATTTCACCATCTACAATTTTTACACTTTTCCTTAGAAAAGTGCCACCTAAGATCAGTCCTAGATGCCATATCTCACAGATGCCTTAACTTCTTTGATCACTCACCTAATAAATGTTTACCAATAGTAAGACATACATGACAAAACAACATAAAGACAGTACTTTTATTATTATCACTATCTAGGAAAAAAACCTTGAAGATTAGTTTAAAAGACAAACATATTGAAAACTTTGTATATATTTAGTGTTTATTTGTTGTTATGTGGAAAGTAGTATATTGTACCATGGGGGACAATAAAATGATCTTTTTTTCAGTGAACAGCTAGAAACAATTCTACAAAAATGCTAGATCTTACATATACTGCAGTTGAAACTTTAAAGGAGATTCATTCATGAAAAAGAAGGATACTTGTAGGGTTGTTACTAGTGGGAAAGAAATGAAAATTCTTAGCAGACAAATCATATTTTTAAAATGTCTGCTAACAGCAGTAGGTATTCCTTTCAGGGATAAGCTATTTATTGTAGATTTTTAAAATCTTATTTCATTCTCTATCTCCTCTACAGGGATTGATTTTTCCCCCAACTCAATTTAGTAAAAAAAAAACCTAGATTGTCTATTTATATGAAGCACTAACATAGATGATAGATATTACAAAGATATATCTATTCCCTGTCCTTAAGGAACACACATATGAAAATTGGCTAAAGCCTAAAAACAATTAATGGAGCATCACACACACACACACACACACAACAAGATTTTAAATATCTATCATGGTTACTAATGATAATTTATTTAGATTGATTAGATGTGGGAACTAAAATATGATCAAAAAAATTTTTTAAAGATTTTTATATTATCAAATTTTTCTAAAACAGTAGAAGCAAAAATATACTTATAAAAATATTAGCATCACAATATAGTTTCTAATTTTTTAAGGTGCTGAATTTTATTATTTGAATCTAAAACAAGTCTTACCATGTGAAAAATGACTAAATTGATTATTAAAAAATATTTTTTCAATAGCATAGAAAATCATACAATTGACTTTACCAAATATTCTAAGTATTAGGAATTCCCAAGGTCATATAGTTAAATCAACAGTTAATTTTATAATGGCCATTAGCCCTGAGAGACTACCTAAACTCATAGTAGGCTTTCTTTTCTGAAAAATATCACCTTATAGTTACCAAATTTTTTTTTCGGGACAATAAAAGGTCAGTAAATCAGCAACACTGTATAGTTTTACTTTTGCCAGAATTCCATGACTTACATTCTTTCTAAATGACAGTATTAATCCAAATCATTTTGAATTACTAATTCCAGAGAAATCTACTGATCATAGAAGGAAAAGTAATTGAGATTGGTCATGCCAATACCTTTTCATTATAAATGACCCAGCTGACAAGTTGGGCATGAGATCTGTTTCTAAAGCCATTTCTGTATTTTTACTTCTCAGTTCTGCTTCCAAGTCATGATTTATAGTGAGTCACCTCAATTTTAGAAGAAAACGTCTTCCTGATTTTCTCATTATGCCATGTGCTGCAAAATATTTAGTTCCAAGGTTGTTTTATTGAAATTGAAGCTTTTATTAATCACAAATGATATACTTACTCTTTTGGAAATAATGGAGAACAAGTCCAGGCCAGTAAATTTGCAGTGTTGGTTGCACTGACAATCCCAAACAGTTTTATAGTGAGCATGGATTCCCTTGGAAGTGACTTTATTTCAAGAGGAAAATTTATCCTACAAAATAAAAGAAAGAAATAGTATTGTTTCCACAATTATAATATTTTTATGAAAAAGTTCTTTTAATGTAATGGAATGAAACAATATTATTTAACTGTTTGAATTGAGATATCTGTTTAAATTTTATGCTTAATCTTATAAAGATGAAAATATAACAGAAGTACATAGAGTATGGAGATTTGTTGCTCAGTGAAAATTACTCCTTATAATTTTGACACATAGTTTATTTTTAAAAATTACAATAACTTGAGCATTTATTCTTGCATTGCAAGTGCAGGTAAAATAATAACTTAAGAAATAATTGTTTTAAGGAGTTGGAGAAGGCAGAAGATAACTAAGAATGGATCTTAAAGATTAAGTAGCTATAATGAGATGAAGATTCTGAAAAAAAAAAAAAAAATTCCAGAAAGAGAAAAGTGCACATATGCATGAAGAGATTAGGTGTGTCTAAGGAATGGTGAATGGGTCATTGTGGTTAAAATAAAAAATGAGGTCAAGCTGATAGAAAAAGTTGTGGAGAATGCAATTAGAAGGAAAGGTCGTTGCCAAAATGCTTAAGAACTGTGCACGTCAGGCAAAGAAATGTGAACTTTCTTCTTAAGTCAAAAGGAAATATATAAAAGACAGAACCAAAAGTTTAGAGAGTTATTTATAACTTTAAATTTGAACTGTTCTGAGTATTGATGAGGTCCCAGGAATTTGGGGAATAAACATTGAAACGTAATGCATATATAATTTCAAGATATATTAAGGTCAAGATATATTAAGGTCAAGATGATCTAAGCTCAGATCTTAAATGAATTGTAGAGACTGGCACACACAAAGTGCTTAAGGATAAACATGGAATTTCTAATCATGAGAAAATCTTGAATTTGAGTGGTAAAGCCATCAATATATGTAAAGAAATGTCTAGGAGGTTATAAATGGTACTATAAGACTGGGATGAGTATACATGAATGCCATGATTGTCTAAGAATAAGAGGCTATTGACAGAAAGTTGAGATTGTAATCTGATGTTGGCATGTTGAAAGTTAATAGTTGGCAGGATACAGGTATCTTTCTTTTTTTGTTTCTAGAGTCATCTTGGCTATATAGAAATTATCAGGTTCTATTACAAGAGCCTCAAGAAGCATGGTTTTTAGGAAAGCACTAATTATGAAATGAGGAGATAGAATAAATTTTTCAAGGTTTTGAGATAGGAGAATATGTTTATTAGTAGTTGAGAGCACTAGAGACAAATGAGAAAATTGAAACAAAGTTTGGCAGTCAGGGAAAGAGTTATAGAAACTGAATTATCAATGAATGGGAATCTGAAAGAAGAGCGATACTAGAAGAGTGACAGTGTAGCATGTATAGGATGATACCTGAAGTTATAAGGTGTGAGAAGTCTAAGCAAAATCCACTGGCCTTGTGATCCCCAGTTGGATTTTGATGCCAAATTATTTAAGCAGCAGGTGATTATCAGACTGATGATGACCAAAGCCTGATATCCAAATGGAAGGTGCTGAGTGCCAGCTGATGCCTCAGGTAATATGGAGTATCTTCTCACACTAGGAGTTGACTTTCTAAACTGTAGACTAGGGAGCAGTTTTCACTCAGGGTTTCAAATCACATATTAGCAATTCCTTTTCTTCAGTACCTGTATGTCATTCAGCCTCAGAGATAAAGAGAAGCTAATTTGGCCCAGTGACCATAACTGAGATTGATGAAGTCAACATGGTGTTCCCTGAGATAATCAGTTCCAGATCCAGGGTGGTCATAGAGCAGCTAACATGATGAACTATAGGAGAGCTATTTTAGAGGCAAAATGAATAACTGATACTTGATTAACAGTATAGAAATGGAATAGCAGCCGGGCTCAGTGGCTCAGCCTGTAATCCCATGCCTTTGAGAGGCTGAGGTGAGTGGATTGCCTGAGCCCACGGGTTCGAGACCCGCCTGGGCAACTTGGCGAGCCCTCATCTCTACAACAAATCAAAAATTAGCTGGGCGTGGTAGCGTGTGCCTGTAGTTCCAGCTACTTGGAAGGTTGAGGCGGAAGGATCGCCAGAGCCCAGCAGGTCGAGGCTGCGGTGGCCGAGAGCAACCACTGCACTCGAGTCTGGGCTACAGAGTGAGACTTCAACTCAAAAAAAAAAGAAAGAAAAAGAAATGGAATAGGACAACAAAGAATAAAAGATAAATTCTGGTTTTTAGATTATGATATAACATGTTCCTTTAACTGATAGGAGCATAGAAGAAAGTAAAGTTGGGGTGGGAATAATTAGTATTATTTAGGATATAATGTTATTAAGTTAATGGCAATTGTGAGATGCCAATATATAAGCTGTGTCTGGATAGGATGAGTCAGAGTTTTGAATTTGGACAGTTATGTTAAAAAACATTGGCCCTACTGATTAATATGTTTCCCTTGAGTAATGCGTTTAACCTTTCTCAGCCTTATTTTACCTTCTTCATAAAATGGAACAAAACACAATATATAGCAAATGGCAGACTGTATATCAGCATTATATCCATTTGTTCAATTAGTAATGTAATACTTTATATCAGCCATTGTGCATGTAACAATCAGATTTATAAGAAACACATTCTTTGTAGACAAATGAAATGCAATTCTACCTAGAAATAAGGGAAGGAAATAAAGAAAAGACTATGAGAAAAATCTTCTATCTTTAAAGATTGGCAAATTTTGGGTTATTAAAATATTAAATCATTACATGTTTAGATATCAAAAACTAAATGTTAGTTTAATTTTTTTCATATTCTTTCATACTTGTAATATTCATTCAAATTAATGTGGATATATTCCTCAGTTTAATAGAAGCTCTGAAATTCGACATAAAATGCTGATGATCCTATGGAATGCACAATAATTTCTTTAATGTTCTTTCTTTTACCTATAATTGACTATGTATTTAATTTTTATATTTCTGTGCTAGAATAGAAACTGCAGTTTCACTTTATTTTTCAGATGACCCAGAATGTTCTTTTTTCCTATTATGTCTTGTTTCTTTATGTATAACTTCATTTATTAGTGAGCTTTTCATATCAAGAATGATAAAAATTAGATAAGTTACAGTGGATAGTTACTGCAATCTCTGTTTTGTCAATTTTATTAATAAAAACAAATTCTTCTAGGGTAAGAATTAGTGCTTTCTAAGTAGTTATTTGTTCATTTTAATATATATGAGTTTTTAAAGCTAGAATAATCTCACATTCACCAAATTCTTTTATTTTTAAACTTTTGCATGGCTATTTAAAAACCAAAATAAAGAACTTGCAGACAAAAAATAGTAAGAAAAATAAGAGACTATTCAGTAAGTGAATTCAGTTGCTTCCTCTCATTCATGAGACAGGCACAGACTTTGTTTTAACCATATAATTGCCTTACTATACCAATTAAAAATGAATAATCACTAAAATTTTTCTTAAAGTTCGTTTTTCTTCTGTATAATATAGTTCTCCTAAAACCAGAGTAAGTTTTTGAGAGTGAAAATGATCTTGAAAACTACATTGTTTCAAATTTTTCTATTAATACTGATACAAAATTAAAACTCTGGATTAAATTCTAGACCATTGCAAGGACTTTGACTTTTGTATGAGTGAAAGAGGTAGTCATTTTAGGATTTTTAAACAAAAGAATGACATACCTTGACTTACACTTAAAAGAGGTAACTTCAGCCATCTTGCAAGAAGGACTATGGAGGTGTAAGATAAGTAGGGAGACCATTATAAAGCTATTGTAGTACTATAGGGGAGAGAGGATGGTTGCTTAGACCAGTGGAGGCGATGAGAGGTCATACTCTAGATATGTTTTGAGGACAGAGTCAGTAGGAGTTCCTGGACATAGTATCTCACAGAAAGAGATTCGGGCTAAGGATTTTTACAACTAGAACTAGAACTGATTATCTAGAGTGGTCATCCATGGGTGAATTGGTTTGGGATGTAAATCAGGAATTAAGTTTTAGACATATTGAATGCACAAATGTGGAGTTTGTGATTGATATCTGGATTGGCAATATATATTTGGAAGTTTGGCATATAAATGGTACTAAAAAGTAAGCGACTGCAAGATAAAACTAAGGGAATAAGGACTATACAACAGAGAAAAGGGTTAAGACTAAGAGAAAAATCAGTCTGAGAAAATAAAAAAACATGGGGGAAAGAATGGTCAGTCGAAGTAGAAGTGAGCTGTGTGAAAAGTAAATTTCAAGATGGAGGATGAGATCTACAGTGTTAAATGCTTCTGATAGGTCATGTCAGATGAGAATTGAGAAACAAACATTCTTAGTGGAGCAGAGGTGATGAAAGCCTTTTTGGACCATGATATAGAGCAAAGAAAAAAATTGAAGTGAATATAGATGGTTATTTGGAATGTTTTGTTACAAAGCAGAGAAAAGGAAAGGGATGGCTGTTGGCTGGAGAATGGAGTGAAGCAGAAGTTTTTATTTTTATTTTTATTTTTATTTTTTGAGTTGGAGTCTCACTCTGTCGTCCAGACTGGAAGGCAGTGGCACGCTCCCGGGTACTGCAGCCTTGACCTGCTGGGTTCCAGTGATCCTTCTGCCTCAACCTTCAAGTAACTGGAACTACAGGCATGCGCTACCACACCTGGCTAATTTTTTTTTTTTTTATTTATTGTAGAGATGAGGTCTCGCCAAGTTGCCCAGCTGAGTCTCAAACCCGCGGGCTCAGGCAATCCACTCACCTCAGCCTCCCAAAAGCGCAGGATTACAGGCTGAGCCATTGAGCCTGGCTAGTTTTTATTTTTTTTAAACTTAAAATATGAGCACTATTCATGAGATTTAAATACTCTTCCCAAGATTTTGTATGTTGTAAGAAGCAGTATGTAAGTCACAGTAAAAACATCAGCTTAAGAGTCACCGTGAGTCTCAATGCTAGTCCTGACACTTAACTTGTTGTAAAAACTGGGCCAAATTAATCTAAATGCTAGTAAGTGTCAGAACTAGCATTTAGATTTTTTTCATTGAAATTGACTTTAGAGTGAGATTTTTCTCTTGAGTTATCTACATTAAATCTGTGAGTGGAAAATATATCTAAATTAAAAAAAAATCAGGAAGACCCTTTAATTAGGTCAGAAGAATAACTTTAGTGATTGAGCTGGTTAATAATCTTTTTTCTTTTCTTTTCTTTTTTTTTTTTGAGTTGGAGTCTCACTCAGTTGCCCAGACTGGAGTGCAGTGGTCGCTCTTGGCCACCACAGCCTCGACCTGCTGGGCTCTGGCGATCCTTCTGCCTCAGCCTTCTAAGTAGTTGGAACTACAGGCGCGCTACCACACCCGGCTAATTTTTTTTTTTTTTGGATTTATTGTAGAGATGAGGTCTTGCCAAGTTGCCCAGGCAGGTCTCGGGCCCGCGGGGTTCAGGCAATTCATTCACCTCGGCCTCCCAAAGCGCGGGATTACGGGCTGAGCCAATAATCTTTTTAAAGTCACTTGTTACACAATTATTAATTTGCCCAGTAACAATTACTGAACTCTTACTTTGTCTGTTGCTGCTTTAGCTGCTGGGACTGAACACAAATATTTTAAAAATAATCTTCGCATCATTTGATAGGAGCAGGCAGTAATATAAATGATCATATTTACTAAGCTACCCTAAGAGCAAAGTCTGGAGTTCAGACAATGCAATAAAGGAAAAGGTGGCCAATTTAGCCTAATGATACAGTAAGGGTTTTAGAGGAGGTTGAACAGGTGTCCTGAAAGACAATTAAGTGTTCCCCAGGTGAGCAAGTGAAAACACTGTGTTCCTGACACATAGACGACCCTAGGAGAGGCATGGTTTCTCCGTTCACAGTTAGGAAAGATAGTACATAGTTAGGTAGATAGAACAGATGCAAAGAGTGGCTAGGTGCAGAGTCGGGGAGTGGGGCTAACTCTAGAGATAAAGGAACAGAGACAGCAGGGACCAAGTCACAAAAGACCCTATGTGCTATGCTAAATGATTTGTAATATACCTTTTGAGAACTGGATAGCCAATGAAGAATTTTACAAGCAGAACTGATTCCGTGCAAGAGAAGGGGATATTGTAATCTAACGTCAGGTCTCTGGTCCAAGAAATTAAGAACCTTACTCAAAGAAGAGGAGCTAGTGATTGTCACAATCCTAGGAGAAGTCCTGCGATGGGAGGACCATGAATATGTGAGAATTTAAGGCCACATGCCATGTCTCATAAACTGTATCCACTTTGTGGTAACACTAAGAGAAGGATAAATGGTGCTATCTAACAGGAGTTCTCTGCCACCTACAGATTCCAACATATATTTCTCAGTGGGAAAGCATAATACTGGGAGTCAAATTACATTCTAAAAAACCCCAAATCTAAAAGGGATGAAGGAAAGTGGCCTAGGGAATTTTCTTCTACTTTAGGTGGAAAGAATATCAATCTCAGTGAAGCAGTAGAGACTCCAGAGAAAAAATGGAGAACAAGCCAGTGGGGAAGCGTCATAGGAGCAGTGAAAAAACACAGCAATAACCAAGAAAAAGCCAAGAATGAAGCCCATAAGGCCACAGAGGTTCTGAGTAAAGAGAGAGTTTGAAGTGGGGGAAGGTTGGAAAGATGAGGAAAGAAGGGCTAGTGTTAGGAAGGCAAAGTAATGTCTCCATCTAACAAATCTTTATAAAAGGAGGAAGTAGGAGCCAGTCACTCCAAATTAAGTTTCAGCATACACAATACATAGATATTTATTTTTTTAAAAGCTTGATTGCTTAAACAAATTATAACTGGCTTGTGTGAGAAAATTGAGAAAATAGAGATTACACATATTATTTAGTGATTTTTATCTTTGTTATATCTGGTCTCCCCCAGTCCTGCCTCAAGCAGAGCAAATTCCTAATATCTACAGGTTGTGAATGATTAATAAATCTCCTTTTTTCAATTTCCCCTTTTTCTCAGTTCAATAATGTGGATTGGACAGTTGTCTAGGTTATTTAAATGGACTTTTAGTCTGTTGAATTCAATTCAGTTATTCGTTGAAGTCAGTTATCCGTTAGACCTAGCATATTTATCACACCACTGAATCAAATCAGCTGGCAGCATTAAAAAAATTACATCCTTTGCTTTAAAGAAAGAAAGAAATAAAGCCGACCTTTATTAGATAAATGATCCATACAGAATAAAGATTAAACTTACGTTTCATTCCAGTTGACCAAGAAAAAAAATAATTTTTTGACTGGAATATTTCTGTAATTTCTCACTTGGCACAGCTTTTTTCCAGCATATGTAAGCCAACAGGAAAAAGAAAATGCTTTGTAACTAGAAAGAAACAACATAGATTCAATATGCTTAGCACTTGAAATAAACCAACTTTTTATATGGATCAATCATTTTTATAGTCAAAAGTCAAATAATAAAGTGATATTTGCTTGTATAAAGCATGCTTTAAAATTTGCTTTAAGAATTTATGTTGGGTATATCAACATGATAGTGAAACAGGAAGCCCCAAGACCTTCCTCTTTCCATGGAGACACACATTCAACAATACACTGACCAATTTTCTATGTGAGAAATCCAAAAACCAGCCAAAAGTCTTCTGTACTCTAGGTGAATTCAAAACCAGCCACATCAAAACTCCTAGGAATCTGTGGCTCTCTCTTTTCAGTCTCTCCCCAGCATAGGGTGGCATGATTAGGAGAAATCTTCTAATTCCTGGCTTCACCTCAAGAAGGAAAAGAGAAGACTGGAACAAATATCTAACATTCAGATTCTGGAAAGGCTACTCTGAGAACTCAATTCTGCCTTTTTTGGATCTAAACGCTGACAGGAAATGGCATTAGGTTGGGGGCCACTGAAAACAAAGATGATGACACAAATTAGCATGTACTCACTTGCCATTGCCTCTGCCTGCAATGCAACATAAAATAGGTGGGAAAATTTTCCAACCTCCAGCTTTAACCTTGGGAAGAAAAATGGTTGGATTATGTGGTCCAACATTTTAGCTCTGTGGGGTGCTTTCCGAAGAAATGGTTTCTGTTTTGTCTGTCCTGTAGCACTGACAGAACCTGAAATACTTTAGATGCATGGAGACTACTGAGAAGAAAAAAGAGCTGGTTGGCTTGTTGCTCCTATACAGTTTGTAACTTCACCTTGGCAAGGAAAGGGAAAGAGTGAAGAACATGCCCAACATTTTAGCTTTTGGGAGGATTGCTTGAGAGAATGCTTTCTATCTCACCTGACTAGAGGCATGGATGGGATCCAGCATACTCCAGATAATATGGGCACCACTGAAAGTAAAAAAAAGCTAGGCAACTTACAGAAGTTCTAGAGAACCTAGTACCACACATAGACACCAGAGGGAAGAAGAGAATATGAGTATCAAAGAAAGAATTCAGCAAAACCTTTCTAATAGGAATTTACAAGTTCAGAGAAAATGCTCCCAGATAAAATGTTTGAGAAGCCCCTAGAATTTCAAGCCAGGCTAATTGTGTTATTTCTCTGTAAAAAGCCAGTTCCTAAAAGCAGGAAGAGTTGGCTGCTTCATCAAGTACACAGCTCCAAAAACAAAGTAATAAGGCACATTAAGAATGAGAGAATCATAGTCCAACCAAGAGAGCAAACTAAAGGAACAAATCAAATCCATTTCCAAGAAATTAAGGTATATAAATTACATTTTTTAAAAATTAAAATAACCATCAAAAAGACACTCAATATGCTCAGGAAAATGATGCATGAACAAAAGGAGAATAACAAATGAGACAAATATCAAAAATTACCAAACAGAAATTTTGGAGCTAAAGAATACAATAACTGAGTTGAAAAATGTACTACAGGGATTCAAAAGTAGAATTGACCAAACAGAAAAATAATCAGCAAACTTGAAGACAGGTTATTTGAAATTATCCAGTCAGAGAAAAAAAAAAAATGAAGTAAAGAAAGCCTAAGTGGCTTATGGGAACCATCAAGCAGATATATCTATCTATCGATTGATCTATCATCTATCTATCTAATGGAATTTTCAGAAGAAGAAGAAAAAGAACAAAGGGCAGAGGGCCAGAAAGTTTATTTGAAGGAATAATGACTGCAAACTTCCCAAATCTTGGAAAGGAAATGGACATCCAGATTCAGGAAGTCCAATAGATACCAACTATGATGAACCCAAAGAAGATCCCACAGAGACATATTGTACTAAAATTATTAAAAGTCAGAAACAAAGAGAATTTCAAAAGTAATTATGGGAGGAGGAGCCAAGTGGTGTCTTGGGAATAGTAGAGTGGGTGCAGTCCTCACTTAGCAAGGCAGAGAGTAGGGATTCCACTGGCATAAGACAGAGTTACCCAGAACACTTTTGGAAGGGTCAATCACTGTGAACCCAGCGAAGTTCTCTTGAGTGCACAGGCTCCAGAAAGCCAGGCAGGTGCAGAATTCCAGAGACTCCCCACTCCTACTCTTCACCAGTCACCCTTCACTGGCACTCACAGAAAAGGAAGATATGATCAAAGAAGGAGAGAGGGCATGATTATAAGAAACTCTGAATCAGTTCACCTCCTTCCAGCAGTGCACAAAATGTCAGTTTCATGTGAGAGAAAGCCTGGGCAGGATGCAGTGGTCCAGGTGGAGCAGGCAGCAAGTCCCACATGGGGTAGCCTTCATTCAGCAGAGTGAATTTGACTCACACACTCACTGCTACCTGTGAAACAGCAGGGCAGGGCAGAGAGTGGGAATCCAGTCAATGATTAAAGGAAGCACCTTGTATATGTTTGTAATGGTGAGACACCCTGCAACCAGTGAGGGACTCCTTAGAACAAGGGGCAGGGATAGAAATCTGAGCACCCTATCCCTGCTATGAGCTAGGCTTGTGTAGGATGAGATCATACTGGGATTGAGAGGGGGCAGATGATTCTGGGTCATGTTGAGTTGATTTACCTCTCCCTCCTCCCTGCCACTGGCCATTCATCACATGCAGCAGGGGGTGGAGAATCTACTTTAGCAGTGGAGAAGAAAAAAAATTTCAAAACTGCAGCAGCAAGATGCTGCCACGGGGGGGAGCTCCTACCTCCTTCAGAGAATTCCCAGATGAAGAAGGAAGGAAAAACAAGCACCTCTCAAAATTTTAAAGAGACAGCACATGGAAAAGCAGCCACCAGAGCACAAACAATGGAAATCTCCCAGAAGGGCCTGGTCTAGCTGACAGCTGCTGAAATCAAAGAATAAGTGGCACAAATTAACAGGGACCAAGAGAAACATGAAGCAAAACTCAAAGAAATTGTATAGGAAGTAAAAGCAGATTCAGTCACACTCAAAAACAACTACTTTGAAATAACAGAAATAAAGAGCTCCATCTTCAAAACCAATAACAAAGTAACAAGTATTGGGAAGAGGCTCAACCAAGCAGAAGAAAGAATCTCAGACTTTGAAGACCAAAATATGGAATTAACACAACCATTAAAAACATAGGGGGTAAAAAAACTTCAAAAAGAAGGAAGAAAGTGTTCAAGATTTGTGTGGCTTGTTCAAAAAAGCCAAACCTACACTTGATTGGTATCCCTGAAGCAGAAAGAGAAAATGAAAACACCATAGAACAAATACTCCATGAGGGCATTCAAGAGAACTTCCCCATCTTGCTAAGGAGATGAACATCCAAGTTCAAGAGATTCAGAGAACCTCTGCAGGATATTACATGAGAAGACCATCACCAAAACACATAGCAATTCACCTCCAGATGATACATACCAAACAAAAATTCCTAAAGGCAGCAAGAGAGAAAGCCAAACTACTTACGATAAAAAACAAAAAAACAAAAACAAAAACAAACATATAAACATCAGAAGCACTCCAGATTTATCTGCAGAATCACTACAAGCCAGAAGAGATTAGAATCCAATTTTTAATGCTCTTAAAGATAAGTAATTCCAACTACCAATTTCCTACCCCGATAAGATAAGCTTCATCAGTGATTGGGAACTGAAATTTTTCCTATCCAATCCCTAAAAGAGCATGCTGCCTCCAGACCAGTCCTTCAAGAGATGCTGAGGAAGGTGCTGAATACAAAAAACACAACAAAAGAATAGCAAAGCACACCATGAAAATAGGCAAACACAGAGGTAAAAGAGCACAAAGACCACTCACAAAAATATACAAAAGCAAAAGTTAAATGAAACAAAACAATACATAGGATTACTATCACAGGGATAAACTCTCACATATCAATAATAAATTTGAAAATGAAGGGACTAAATGTACCACTGAAAAGACTAGAATGGCAAATTGGATAAAAACAAGATAATTCAACAATCTTCTGCCTCCAGAGAATTCATCTCACTGCAAAAGACACATAAAGACTCAAAATAGGAGGTTGAAAAATTATTTTTCGGGTGAATGGAAAGCAGAAGAAAGCAGACATAGTTATTCTAATATATGACAAGCAGTTTTCAAGCCATCAAATATTAAAAAAGAAACAGAATAATGAAGACAGGTTCTATTCACCATCAAGTAATAGCCATCCTACACATATATGCACCCAACACAGGAACACCAGGTTTTATAAGACAATTATTAAGCAAACTAATAGAGGACATTGACTCTCACACAATCATAGTAGGAGATCTAAATACACCACTAGCAGCTTTGGATAGATCATTGAGGCTGGAAGGATAGTCCTTATCAATAAATCAGACAAGAACAGATGCTGGCATGGGCGTAGAGAAAAGAGATCACCTCTACATTGTTGGTATGAGTTCAGGCTAATTCAACCTCTATGGAAAGCAGTGTGGCAATTTCTAAAAGAATTAGAAATGCTTCCATATGAGCCAGCAATACTTCACCTGACTCATTCTACCAAAAAGACGTCTGCACACACATGCCTATAGCTGCACTATTCAAAACAGCAAAAACATGGAAGCAACCCTACTGCCCATCAAAGAGGACTGGATAAGGAAAATGTGATACATATACATGATGGGATATTATGCGGCCATAAAGAATAAGAAAATCATGAAATCTGCAGCAAATTGGATAGAGTTGGAGATCATCATATTTAATGATCTATCACAGAAACAAAGAATTGAATACCATATGTTCTCACTCATAAGTGGGACCTGAACATTAATCACATTAGCACAAAAAAGAGATTGGCAATTGCTGGACACTGCCAGGAGAATGGGACGCATGTAGCATCACAAAGGGTATCTGGTCCCAAATCAGGGAAAGTGAGGGCCAGTTGGAGGTCCAAACTTTAGCTGCATGCAGCCTGCTTCTGTTGCTAATACTGACTTATATATGTATATGTATATATATTTTATTATTTATATGTGTGTATA